AAAAAAACAAAAACAAACAAAAAAACCCAACCATCAAGGAAATAGTATCTTTACTAAATTCAGTAATTTGTATTATACAGTTCTGGATCTTTCCGACTCCTTAAGATTAAAGAGGTGAAGCAATTCTATATATGGTTGGAAAATTTTAATAATCAAATTTTACTGTACTGGTGTAAAGTACTCCATCTATTTCAAATTTTGTAAACTAATCTGCTGGCCAGTTTAGAAGCTTTTCTTATTTTTCATGAAGGTACTACTTTATGAAGTACGTTCAGCAATTATCATCAAATAAGGTGTTCTAACTGTTTCCCAAGGTTTCTATTAAATCACAAAGGAGCTGAAAGGTTCTATTGCTGTCCTACTGAGAGGCTGATCTTGCCAGCTGTCAGAACTGTGATGTTTGTTTGATATATATCTGGGAGCTATATTAACATATATACCACTGCTTGAAATAAAGTGCAACTGAAAGATARAGTACATTCAGTTTTGTAACTATTTTAAAAAAATTAAGTTTATTTAAAACAATTATTTAGTTGACATTAATGCTGCTAAAAATGTCTACTTGTAAAGATTAACTTTCTAAAGTAAACTTCCCATTATTTTGTATTTTTTATTTATTATTATTGGTTATTAACTAAAGCTTTATTCTGAAATTGTATTTGATAACACAGATCTAATAACTTTCTAACTTAAAGACTGCTGATCTGTGTGGTAAGAGTTATGTACTGCTGTTTCGGTTGGTTTTTGTTCTTCAGGTAACACACTTCAGTTCTCTTCATAGTTTTCTCCCAGTTGTTTAATTGCCAGTAGAACATTATTTGGATCATCACACAGTTCACTCAGACTTGTTCTGGTTAAAAAAAAAAAAAAAAAAAAAAAAAAAGCATTGTTCCATTTTAAGTTGCTTTTAAATGAAATATATATTGTGTTCTAAAAAGCACAAATTTATCATACACAAAATATTTAATAAGGAGTGAAAAATCCTTGAGTGTATAGTAAGCATCTCCTTCATTTAACCTAAAGAAAGAAAAAGAAATCAAATAGATACGCACTGGAACCGTTTGCTTGTTACTAAACCCTGTTGTATAGGTTGGGGAAGGATGCAGAGAGCTCATGGCATGACCTTAAATACTGACACACTAGATCACTGGGATCACTGTAGAACAGATATGAGCTTAAACTAATAATGCTGCAGAGGCTTATATTTCTATAATTACATTTAACATAAAGACTTATGAGTAATATTGGAAAAGATATTTTATTAATACTATCTTGAGAATATGGTTTCAATTGTTTGAACAACTAACCTGTTGCAAACTAAACTGGAACACTGCTGACAGATCTGCTAGCTGAATTGAGCAGGAAATTGTATAATGATGAACACCCTATGTTTTGCAAAGACCACTAATTATTGAAAAGGAACTTAATAAACTCAGTCCCTAGTAATTAAGAATACATCTTTTTTTTTTTTTTTTAAATACAGTCAATACTTGGTTGAAAGAGTGGAATTACAGAAGGGTTCAGGCTGGAAGAGACCTTAAGCACCATCTACTCAGTCACCTGAGTTGGGGCAGTTTTAGGCACAAATCCAGCCCAAATAGAAAATGGATTTAGCCCTATGGAGAAGAACTTGTGGGKGATGGTTAATGAAAACCTCAGTACGAGCCGACAAGGTGCGCTCACAACCCAAAAAGCCAATGGAGTCCTGGGCTGTATCAAGAGAAGTGTTGGCCAGCAGATACTGAGGGAACTCATTCTCCCCTTCAACTCTTCTCTTGTGAGACCCCACCTACAGCACAGCATCCAGCTCTGGTGTCCCCTACGTGAGAAAGACATGGAACTGTTGGAGCAATATCCAGCGKAGGGCCATAAAGTTGGTAAGTTGGCTGCAGCACCTCTTCTATGAAGACAGCCTGAGAAAGTTGGATCTTTTCAGCCTGGGGAAGAGCAGGTTGTATGGAGACCACACAGCAATCTTCCAGTATCTGAAGGGGGCCTACAGAGATGTTGGAGAGAGACACTTTCTCAGGAAACRTAGTGATGGGTCAAGGGGGGATGGCTTTGAACTGCAAGAGTAGGTTTTGATTAGGTAGAAATGCTTTACTGTGAGAGTGGTGAGGCACTGGAACAGGTTGTCCAGAGAAGCTGTGGATGCCCAGTTCCTGAAAGTGTTTAAGGCCAGGTTGGAAAGGTGTCCCTGCCCATGGCAGGGGGGTTGAATAAAGATAATCTTTAAGGTTTCTTTCAACACAGGCCGTTACAGGAATCTATAGCCTCAACTCCCCTGCTATGGGCATGGACGTTTTTCACTAGGGTGGAAATGAGGGGTGTCCCTCAGGGCTMTRCCTTGGGGCTCATCAGTGCCTTMATCAGTGACATGCAGGGGCACCAAGCACACCCTCAGCACTTTTGCAGGGGATCGGAAGCTGAGCTGGGCAGGGAGACCACGGAAGGATGGGGCCATCCAGAGGCACCTGGACAAGCTTGAAAAGAGGGACACGAAAACCTCATGAGATTACACAAGGCCAGGTGCCGTACCTGAGTTAGGGCAATCCCTGAGTCACGGATTCTTCCAGGTCAGAAGAGTCTTCCAAATCCCTCAGTTTAGCGCTGCCTCCCTGGCTGCTCCCACCACCCTCAGAACCAGCAGYTGGTTGACCCTTGGGGTTTTCCTATGCCATTCCCCACTTCTAGGAGAACTGGACTGAAGGGAGCACACACAGTCTGTGCCTTTCCTCTACAGCCCCTGTCGGCAGCGTGTACGGCCGCCGTGGGCGGGTGCTGCTGGGGAATGTCTTTCCAGCGCAAAGTGCCGGAGAAAGCACAGGATCAAACCGTCCCTCCGCCTGCAGGCACCACATGTTCAATGCTAAGCAACAGCTCGAGCCCAGCACCTGCTTGGAGGAGGCGGGGACGAACCCCGGGTGCATCGAAAAAGGGGTTCGGGGCTGAGGGCGATGGCGCCGACTCCCCTCCCCGGCTCTTCCACCGCTTCTGCGGCGTCACCGGGACAGTCCCCGGTGCGGGGGCTGGATCGCTCCTGCCACGAGGGCGCTGCCGGTGGCTCCCCGCCTGCCATGGATGGGGCCGGGGCCGGGGGCTGAGGGGCGGCCGACACCTTCTCCGCCGCCTTTTCCGGGCTGTAGAAGGGCTTGAGGCTGGGGCCGCGGCGGCAGTGGCGGGTCGCTCCTTCGCCAAAGGTGTTTGCACTTCAACCGCAGCAGCGCTGGCGGCTTCTCGGAGCCGGGCGAGTGCCCGCGCTCTGYGGCGGCGGCCATAGGTGAGCGCAGCGCGGAGCCGCGCTCCCGTTTYGGTGCCAGAGGATGCCCGCTAGGCCCCGGGGCGGGGCTGAGAGATCGGCGCCGCCATTGCTGCCGCCCTCGGGGGACTATGAGGGCAGTGCGGCTCCCGCCAGCCCCGCTCCGGCTGCACAGGCAATAAAAACATGAAGTACAAAGACAGATTGTGCTTCGCAGTTGTGTCCATGGAGTTCTAAATGCTCTTGGACATCAGCCCGAATGGCTGTACTCGGCTGTGGCAGCATCGCCACATGGCGAGCCCCGGGCCAAAATCGCCTGTGGAGATACCGGGACCGGTGGTGTCAGATGGGGCACGAAAGACAAAGAGTTTCGTGTCTTTGGGATAAAGAAACGAGTTTTTTAGTCTATTTGGGAGAGAAAACTATTTTCGATGGCACTAGTCTGTTGTACATGGGGTTCGAAGCATAACAAATGCTAAAATAATTATAAATGCCTGTGTCTCAAAAGGCATAAAGAGATAGGTAAAGCAATGTACCTACTGATAAAATATTTAATAAAAGAAAAACTGTGCTGGGAAAAAACCTCACGGTTTTCACAGGACTTGTRTTTTTTAACTTTTCAGTTTGTTTCCTGTGATTTGCTATATTTTGCATTGAAACTAAATTGAAACATTGAAACTAAAATGAGCAATATCAGGAWGAAATAAACAGCTGTGTGAAAAGCTTCAKAATAAATGTGGAACTACCAGAGGATTCACACGCTTCAGACCTGTGTACACACTTGCATGAAAGCATCTTTCCTTTGCAAGGCTGAATTGCAGCACACAAATAGAAAAATCAGTTACTCATGTTTTCATAGTAAAAATGCCTCCTGTGCAAATTCCTGCTGCAACCAAATTACCAAAACCATGAAACAATATTGGGTTCCTGAAGGGCATGAAGTGACCTTTAAGGGCTCTGCTAACAGATGTACCAGTCCCTACCCAGGAGAAAGATCATAAATTAAAGTCTTTCCTTCTCTCTGGTGACCGGGACAGGACCCAGGGAACGGCTGGAGCTGTGCTAAGAGAGGGCCAGGCTGGCCATCAGGAAAAGGTTTTTCTGCCAGAGGGTGGTCGGGCACTGACCATTCCCTAGGRAATGSTCTCAGCCCCAAGGCTGCCAGCGCTCCAGGAGTGTTTGGACAACACTCAGGCACAGGGTGGGATTGTTGGGATGTGTATACAGGACCAGGGGTTGGACTGGATGATCCTGCTGGTCCCTTCCAGCACAGCATATTTCATGATTCCATGATTATTTATGCTGCCAGCACCCACCTTGCTCCCAAGATGGACCAGGCACAGACAAGCATAATTGGAAAAATAAGCATATTTTATTAACATGTTGTGGTGACCTGCCCATAAAGGGAAGGAAGCACCTAAGATTCCTAAATGCTGGGATGAAAGGAATGATAAAAGCCAGAGTGTCCACAAAAGAAAACAAAAAAACCCCAAAAAAACAAAACAAACAAAAAAAAACAAAAAAAAAACCCAAACAGCAACAAAACAAAAAAAATAAAACAAAAACCAAAAACAAAACAGAAGCTTTAGTTAAACACTTATTTTTATTCATATGTTTATATTTCATTAATTTTACTTATTACTACAGAATTGCTGTGTTAGTCCCTGACCTGCTATAAAAACATCTGGCAGTGGGTTTGGGGTAAAGGGAGAGGGTGAAAGGGAAGAGAG